CATACATACATACATACATACATACCTACATACATACAATACATACATAAATACATACATACATACATACATACATACATACACACATACACACACAACACACACACACACACACACGCATATATATATATATTATATATATATATATATATATATATATATAGATATATATATAGTCAGAATGACCATATAGCGTAGAAATCATACTTTCTTTTCGTATTGTAGCTACAGAACAAAAGCACTGCACAAATCACACCATCCACCACTAAAACCAACGCCACAGTACCATACTATACCACACAACACACACCCCTTACCACTGAACACGGCCGAGTACGTCTTAATAAGCGACACACAGGCAGTGTAGAGGGTGCCCACGTGTTGCTCTGACAGATGATTGATCATGCGATCCACCAGACTGCAATATAGCTCCAGCACACACGCCACTACATCGGGATAGTGCTGGTACGCTCTTAGCAGCTTGTTGATGGGGTCGAGAAGTCGCTGTAGGTTGAGGTATATCACTGTGGCAGTGGACGAGGAAGCTCCGTCGATCACACCCCTGCGGTGTATGTGAATGTGAATATAAAGTATGATAGAAGAACTATTGTGGTGGGGTGTGGGATGACCCATGGCCAATGGTCACGCTCTGGTAGTGTACTGTAGCATATATATATATATTTTTATATATATATAAATATATATTTATATATACATACATACATATACATATACATATACATATACATCTATACATCTATACATAAATACATACATACATACATACATGCGTACATAAATACATATATATATATATATATATATATATGCATGTATACATATATAAATATATATATTGTTCTATTAATAGATTAGTTTCATACCTCAGTAGTTCCAGTAGTGTGATGATGACATTGATGGCGTCCGCATCTCCTGCCCTGGCTAGTCGCAGCAACTCACCGCTCGATGTGGTGCAGATGGTGTTGGTCTGGTTAATCCACGGGTGCAGTAGGTCCTTCATAAAACTCAGGAACAAGTCCTGTACAAAAGTAAACAGGACAGGACAAGACAGGACAGGGCAGAGAAAGGGGTCGTATACGTCAGCCACTTAAGCCAATCGCATACAATGCAGAGGTTATTGTGTGCCAGGTACGGCTGTGGCAGAACTAGAGCCGTCAGAATGATTGAGAACGGCACTTTATGCCCCAAAAGGGGCCGGACGGGACATTCAATTTGGTCAACCCACACAGATCGTAGCGGAAAGTGAGCGTCTCTGAGCTCTACGGATAAGATGTATCTTTCACAGAACTCAAAACACGCGATCAAAAGGGGAGATAATAGGACAAATGAACATTCGATCGAAACACGTCGTATGCGAAAACTATGTCAAGACTGGCGTGTATATACCACATTTATATACATTTCCATATACATACACATAAACATATACGTATACGTATACATATATATATATATATACGGACAGAGACACAGACACAGACACAGATACAGACACAGACACAGGCAACAAACACAGAC